AAACCTGAAATGTAGTCATATTGACAGTTTAGTCACAGAAAACTAGACATTTTAAAGGGGTCATATGATGCTGCTAAAAATAACATTATTTGGTGTAATGAAATGTTTATGCGGTTTAAGGTTAAAAAAACACATTATTTTCCACATACTGTACATTACTGTTTCTCCTCTATGCCCCGCGTTTCTGAAATGCGTCGATTTTTTGCAAAGCTCATCGGTCTGAAAAGCGAGGTGTGCTGTGATTGGCCAGCTATCCAGTGCGTTGTGATTGGCCGAATACCTCAAGCGTGTGACGGAAACTTTACGCCCCTCACGATACTGTGATGCCCTGTCCGGCCGGAGCGACGAGACAAAAACATTAAAACCCATTATAAACAAGGCATTTGTTGCATCCAGTGGGGACATAATTACGGATTATAATGACTTATACTGTCTTTTTACACGTTGTGTTGCATCGCACCGCGTAAACATAAAACCATGTCTGCATTTGTGATCGTAGAAATGACAAACAACAAGCGCTACTCTAAGTAGTTTCGCTTTCACAACGAAAAACACAGCATCACACACGGCAGGCTAGAGTGAGTGGCGGCGGCCTACAGTGAGCAAAGGCCGGGGGCTAGAGCGAGCGGAGTGGGCTTGAGAATGGCGTGGCCGGCGGATTCGACGGAGCGTCCGGCGGGCTTGCGGCAACCACATGTGACGACCCCGGGCTGGACTCCTCTTCGTTCACGGTGAAAGCAGATCCGGCGATTCACAGCACTAAGTTTATGTATTTCCTCAGCGACCAGCACAGAGCAGCTCTAGGCATGACGAAGCGGATATCGTCCTCTTTTGGAAGACCAAACAAAGTAGTTTTGCTTGCACAACAAAACACACAGAGCCTTCACGACATGGCGGCGGCGGCAACAATACTACAGCGATAATAAAAGTTTCACCGCCTTTCTTTGCGTGAACATTTGGGTGGCGTTATACAAATCTTCCCACATCGTGATGTAGATATGTGGGGGCGTGTTAGAACGAGCCGTTTTAGGTAGGTGTGGTTGACTCTTATCTTTTATAAAGAATATCTCTTTGGATTTGAGACTGTAGTCTTCGCAACTTTACAGATCTTCTTTATGCACCAAGAGCTTGTAACACTCCAAAGAGAAAAGAAAAATTTAAATCGCATCATATGACCCCTTTAAGCCATACGATTATTGATGATTATCATCTCAGTCATTATAGTCTAGTCAAAACAATATATTTTTTGTTCAAGACTTATATGATAAAATTACTGTAATTTTAAATTATAAAAAAGGATGTAAATCTACAAACAGACAAATTATATATGCTATTAATAGACATTTCACATTTAGTTATAAGTTTAAATGCTTAAACTCTCCCGATATTATATGAAGCTGCTTTGCTTACTACTGCCTTTTAAATGCAGTTGCCCTCTAAATCAACCTCTTAGCCACCATGGAACGTCAAAACTAATTTTCAACACTATATAGGTAGTGGTGGCCTCTCAATCTCCATGCAGGATATATGCAGTCGCCTTAGAATTTGGCAGTGTAATGAAGATGCCTTAAAATTGTCTCTTGACAGCTCACTGCATTTTGGAACAGTGCAATTATGTGTAGGTATATTTAGTAATATTGCAGTCTCAACAATATATGTTTCACCTCATAATTAAGTGTTATGTAGTATAGTATATGCATATTTTCCTGTGGTAGAGCTCCTCTGTGATTCCTGCACTGAGCTGCGGTAACTGTGCTAGGAGTAGAGCCGTAATGGCGACTCATTAGAGAGAGATAATGACAGCAGGGTGAGCCCTTAGGAGCCCACCCGGACGAGAACGCCCAGAGAAAACTCACAGCGACACTCGCTCCATCACGCCTCAGGGGCCGATAGAGAGCCCAGGGGAGAACAGAGGACGGAGGACGGGGAGAAAAGCAGGAGGAAGTGGGCGATTGAAGGAAAAACAGAGGGAGAGGTGGTAAAGAGGGATGGGGTGGCTGAGCGGAGACCGAAATCATGCGAACGATGGTATTTTTGTTCAAATGTCAGTTTTAATGTGCTTGTGTTGGGTGTTCTGCAGCGTTTCCTCATGACCTGCATGTTAACATACATGCTCTCACAGATCTGTATGACTGCTCCTGTATGGACTGACAATGAAGATTATATTTTATAAACACTGAAGATTATATTTTCTGTCTAATTCATGTGTGAAGCCATTCATCTCTCAAAAGTTTTGACCCACCTGGTTACATTTATTTCTCATCATTATCATAAGCCAAGTTTTTTTTCTACTTTTTGCTATTCTGTTATCGACATAGCCTGTTTCCATTCAATAAGCCTTTTTTAACAGTAAAATTGTGTAATGACCGCATCCTAGCAGCAATCTTTAATGCACCCTTTAGCATACAGTCAAGACAGCTGCAGTTTGACGTGGCTGAGAAAACTGCCTGAATCGACTTGGCTCATGCAACTGCATGCTGCGTAAAGTTAATGTTATCATACAAATATTGAAAAAAATTTTTTTTAGGCCATTTCACTGTGATTGAACTGCAAATAGGCTGTTTAACACACACTTGAACATTATAGAGAAACTAAGCTTTAATGGGAACAACATTTGTTTAATTCTGTCATTCTGTGTCATGTGACACCACATTTAATTGTTCAAGCCTTTTTTCCTTTTCATCAGACATTTGAACCATCAACATATAATTTATTATTTTGCTTAAATTGAAATTGAACGAATTGAACTAAGTTTAGTTTAAGAAATGTTTGATTTAAGAAAAGAAAAAAAAAACCTTAAAGAATACACCTCATTCACATGGGAGTTGAGAATTTCCAGAATGTGCAGAGCTGGAATTTAGACAAAGCTTAAAAATATATATATATTTTTTTTTTTTTATCAGTATTGCCATAATTATTCCAAAATCCCATAATTTTCTTAGTTTTGATTACTCTATTTATTGAAATATGTAGATTTAAAAAATGCAGAATTAGTTGTCTGCAGAATTTTCTTTCCATATCCACCTTTTTCCTAAGTAACCGATGAGCCTCGCCGTGATGGATTTTAACTTCTGTTAGGATGCTGTCGTGTTCCGGTCTCCATAGAAATCCATGTCAAAATGGTGTAATAAGATCGACAGGATTACTTTTTCAGTGCAACTAAATATGGAAATGTGTGCATGGTTAAACGATGCTGTTGTTGGCTTCCACAGTAACTAGGGATGGGTACCGAGAACTGGTACGTAATTGGGTCAATACTGGAGTACCGATAAGCTGGACAAACGATACTGTTATCGATACTTGCGTTGTTTTATCTCCGTATACTTAAATGTTAACGACGAATTAGAAGCTGTTGCTTGTCATTTTCCTTCACTGAATGATGTGGCAGACGTTTGCTCGACGTGTGCGAGTGATATCCATGCGCATGTGCAGTGTGTGTGTGTGTGTGTGTGCGTGCAATCAGTCGTCGTGGCAAGAGTGAAACGTTCGAAAGTGTGGGCTCACGTTACAAAACTAAGCGACACCAGTGTCAGATGCAATATATGCAGTAGTGTAATAGCGAACGAAGGAGGCAACACTAGTAATATAATGAAACATTTACTAACAAAACACAACATCTACCTCAAGCAGTGCGCTGTATTAGGCTATGTCTCGCGGCTCCAGCTCCAACTGAAACTCGCGAGACACATTCACATCAAATGTTGATTCGGTAGAGTTACACTCACAAGACTTAGTCGCAATCACAAAAGTACATTATTTCTGCGTGCTTTAAAGGGGTCATATGATGCTGCTAAAAAGAACATTATTTTGTGTATTTGGTGTAATGAAATGTTTATGCGGTTTAAGGTTAAAAAAACACATTATTTTCCACATACTGTCTTTTTACGCGTTGCGTTGCATCGCGCCGCGTAAACATAAAACCATGTCTGCATTTGTGATCGGAGAAATGACAAACAACAAGCCCTACTCTACACTGCTCAAAAAACTTGCTTTAAATATATAAAATATAAAAACTCTTTAAATATAAAAAAACGTACTTACAGTCTGTGAGTCAGAACAGCCGGCATTGTAGTCTACTCTCCCAGGATCAGGAAACAGTCCTCCATAAAATGTATTTGGTTTCTATATTTATTTGGTAGGAATAGTAGTAAGAAAAGTTATATTTATAAATGACTTTTTTCAACTGTTTTTTCAGACACCAATTCTATTCAGCAAACTGCGCGCACAGGATTATGGGATATTTTAGTAGTAATATTATTATTGTTGTTATTATTACTAAATTATAATATAAATATTACTAAGTAAAAACAATAAGGCACATTACTTTTATAATATTTGACTGTAAAATTAATCATTTTGAATATAATTTATATAATTACATTTTTGCATTACAGCTGTAAAATTACAATATTTATGGCTGCCTTAATTTCTTAATTTTCAAATGCTAAACTAACTTTTAATTTGACAGTTAAACCACAGGGAGCCCTCAAAGCAACACACATTTTAATTCATGTATATCACATATATTTATCTGATTAAATTGCAGCCTTTGCAAATCTCTGATTTGTATTTATTTGAAAGTCGGACTGAGCCATATGTGTTTCAGTTGCGCAGCCCTAACAGGCTGATGTTACACAAACACTGGGTTCAGACGTGGATTCTTGCCTCTGGGCGCTGTTTGATTTCATGTGGTTTCCGACACAGATTCATGGAAGAGGCTCAAAGTCTTCCTACTTTCATGAAGAGCTTTTTGACTCTTTTTGACAAATTGTGCTTTCTGAAAGGGAAGACACTTTGACCGTGAGGTTCATGTCAGGTTACAGTGGACTTCACACCGCAAAAGAAAACTGGTTTTCAGTGTGATGTTGTCTTGCTTATACAACTGTCCTCTCCTTGAAGTTGTCGTATAATTAATTCATAACACCTGCTGCATGAATACCTCATGTTCATCTGCCTGGCTCATCTGCATCGACTCATGTAAATGTGTTTCTCCTGTACAGACCTTGACAAACAACGAATGCTCCAATCACAGTTTTGGTAGCTTGGGCTCCTCCAGTGATAAAGAGTCAGAGGTGAGTTAAGTTCTGTATGATTGTACAAACAGCTTTAAACCAAATACCTCTTATATACTGTGACGTATTTCCAAACAGAATATTCAGTGGGAAATAATCATATGTCATGATTTATAGCATTGATTCATTGCAGTTAGCGATAGACTCATGTTATCGCCCTGACTGATTAATCAGTTGATATTTGATAACCTGTAGATTAACAGCATCTACCAATAATTTGTTGGCCAATTAAAGGGTTAGCTCATCCAAATGAAATATTTCTTCAACCCTCATGTCGGTTCAAACCCATAAGACTTTTGATCATCTTCAAACCAAAAATGAATAGATTTTATTGACAGATTTTTGTCCCTTTATTGAAAGTCTGCAACTAAAAATGTGATGCTTCAAAAGGTTCATAAAGACATTGTTGAAGTAACCCGTATGAATTGAGCCACTTAATCCAAGTCTCCTGAAGAGACACAAATGCTTAGTATGATAAACAGATTTAATTTAGATCTTTTCACACACAAACCTTGATGAGCCCACATACACAGAGCACATCAAATATAGTAAATTAAATCTGAAACGTCTTTGCTTGATATGCAAGAAGCAGATTTGTTCTCTTCACACATCAAGCAAGTATGATCGAGCTTCTGGATTAAACCGCTCAATTCATATGGTTTTCTTTTATGATGTCTTTATGAACTTTTGAAGTGTTGAAATGAACTTTCAATGCACAGACAGAAATATCTTAGATTTCCTTAAAATGTGAGATGCACTGAAATAATTTTTTTTGCCAAAACACCAAAACCGAAGTTAAAGTTTTCATTAAGCTGAAAACTGAAAATAAAGTTACTTAATCAATTAATCTAATTTATTGAATAATTAACACTCAGATAGAAAGTTTTTAAACATTTGTGACCCTGGACCACAAAACCAGTCATAAGGGTCAATTCTTCAAAATTGAGATTTATACATCATCTGAAAGCAGAATAAATTGTATGGATAGGACAATATTTGGCCGAGATACAACTATTTGAAAATCTGGAATCTGAGGGTGCAAAAAAATCAAAATATTGAGAAAATAGCCTTTAAAGTTGTCCAAATGAAGTTCTTAGCAATGCATATTACTAATGATAATAATTTTTTTTATATATTTATGGTAGGAAATTTACAAAATATCTTCATGGAACATGATCTTTACTTAATATCCTAATGATTTTTGGCATAAAAGAAAAATCAATCATTTTGACCCATACAATGCATTAGGGCTGTCAAAATGACTGAAAAACTAAATTCAAATTTTCTACTTAAATATTATCAAAATTCGAATTATATTCAAATTGAAAAGCCATAATTTCAGTTGGGGGGGGCTTTTGGCTTCTCTCCTGAGGCCACAAGAGGGCGCATCGAGCAAAATATTATGCCCGTTTCTTCAAAGCGTAATAAAATAACACGACTATCTTTGGGGGGAAAAAAAGTGCATAATGTTTAAAATAATGTTTATAAACCATGTATAATTAATAAAGTTGCTTAAACAATTAGAAAAAAACAGCACCATGCATGTATGTATAGTTTAATACAAAGCACCGAAAACCAATCACAAAGAGTAGGCTACTTTCTTGAGATACATGAAAACATGAGATGCAGTGGGATGGGGAAAAACCACCATAAAGTCTTGAGATATATTTTTTAAAAGTTGAACTTACATTAATTTTACATGACTTTCTAAACATGCCGCTGTCTTGTGCCAGACGCGAGTGCAGCGCTGATAGATGTCCCTCTAGAAAATGTGATCAATATTAGGGCTGCAACAACTAATCGATAAAATCGATTATAATCGATAATGAAAATCATCGACAACGTTTCTCATTATCGATTAATCGGGTCTGCCCACAGTGCACGTACAACTGCAGCCGGTCGTATCAAATTACAGCACCGAATGACGCATTTCTATGGACAAAATGCATTTAAAAATATTGAAGGCAACAGAATGAGCTCCTGCAGGAAAAGTACGTGATCCAAGCTGCCCAAAACATGAGAAATCTTTATTTTAAGCTTCAAGCTGATGCATTAGCGTAATGGCTTGCCCTGTCAGGCGTGTGTGTGTCCTCAGCACAAAAACCTTTCAGTTAACGGTCATATCCTTATCTGTAAATGTCACAAATTCACGCGAGCCTTTCCATTTTTGCATAAAGGCCCGCCCTGACAGTCTGCGTTAAGTTGAAATCTTTACTGAAAGAGCGCCGGCGCGGTGGGCATGCACATTAAACAGACGGAACACAGAGAGGGAGACAATATTCGGCTCAAAAACATTAATTGTGTTGAAATATCTGTTGTTGAACATTAAATTTAGGTTTAAAAGTCAACATGCAGTGCGAGTAATTTATGAGAGTAGGAACTGTGAAGGGACAGCAGCGTGTGATTGTCTGAGTATAAATGTCATGTGTGTGTCCTCAGCACAAAAACCTTTCAGTTAACGGTCATATCCTTATCTGTAAATGTCACAAATTCACGCGAGCCTTTCCATTTTTGCATAAAGGCCTGCCCTGACAGTCTGTGTTAAGTTGAAATCTTTACTGAAAGAGCACCGGAACATTAAACAGACGGAAGACAGAGAGGGAGACAATATTCGGCTCAAAAACATTCATTGTGCTGAAAAATCTGTTGTTGAACATTAAATTTAGGTTTAAAAGTCAACATGCAGTGCGAGTAATTTATGAGAGTAGGAACTGTGAAGGGACAGCAGCGTGTGATTGTCTGAATAGAAATGGCAGATTCTTTTACAGGATAAATAAATGACGACGGAACACAGAGAGGGAGACAATATTCGGCTCAAAAACATTAATTGTGTTGAAATATCTGTTGTTGAACATTAAATTTAGGTTTAAAAGTCAACATGCAGTGCGAGTAATTTATGAGAGTAGGAACTGTGAAGGGACAGCAGCGTGTGATTGTCTGAATATAAATGTCAGACGCTTGTACTGGATAAAGACATGGCCGTAAGAGGAGACTGACTGTGATCAAAGTGCACGCGACGCGTGTTCCTGCAGAGCCTTACTGTGATTTTATTCGTCTTTATTATCTTTCTTATTTTAAGTTTTGACCTTGAGATTTAAACTATATTCACTATAGTCTATAGCCTACAGTGATTAACAAATTTATTAAAACAAATTCATGTAAGGTTTTTAACCAATTTTGTAAGGTTTGAGCCACTGCTGCTCTTAACTAACAGTATTGGTAATTACCAAAATCATTTTTTTAGCTTTCTGTATTGATTAGTCGTATAAATGTCAGACGCTTGTACAGTGTGTTTTTTTATTATTCAGATACCTAATTAGTCAAAAAGTACATAAACAATGCCAGCAAGCATGCATAGCTTTCTGTATTGATTAGTCCTCCAATATGCGTAAACTCTTTAGTAACAGTAGTAAGCTATTTTTAATGCTATAATATAATTATTGCTGTTATCTGGGAAAGAAAGGCAGAAAAAAATTGCCAAGTGCTTTATAGTGTTTTTTTTTTTATTATTCAGATACCTAATTAGTCAAAAAGTACATAAACAATGCCAGCAAGCATGCAAGCTGTTATCAAAGGCAAAGGAGGCAATTTTTGTTATTATGTGAATAAATACTATTTAGTTGTTTCAGTTTATTTGCCCAAAAAATTACAATAACATTTTTAGAATTAAACAATTTTTTTTGACAGATTCCTAAAATATTTGTGTTTTCTCTTATGACAGGTGGTCTAATAAATTGTTAAGCACTGTATGTTTTCATAGCATTCAGTTGGCACATTTGTTTGAAGGACATTGGGCAGAATGTGGAATAGTGTGTTTATGTCAGTAAAATTAAAATAAAGAGTTTTTTCTTTTTCTTTCGATTAATCGAAAAAAGAATCGGCCAACTAACCGATTATCGGCCCTAATAAATATGCATTCTGTGTGAACGGCTTGGTTTCAGTTTTGACGTAAACAACATCTCCACACTGATGCTCTCGTTTTCCGCAATATATTGAATGAACAACGTAGCAGCGCCGCATCTAGTGGGTTCAACTGGATAGGCTAACAAAAGCATTCAAATGCAATGACACTTACATCGTCGTCGCATTTCGTGCGCCACTGATAGGCTGCCTGACGGCTGATGCAGACCTAAAATTTGAATGCAAAAACGTTGTGGATTTATTTATTTTTTAATTTGACACACATTCAAAATTCAACAATTTTTTTTGACAGCCCTACTGTGTTTTTTGGCTATTACTACAAATATACCCCAGCAACTTAAGACTGGTTTTGCGCTCCAGGGTCACATTTAAATTGTGCATAAGTCAGTTTTTATATTAACTTTTTTAATTATTATATAATGAGAGGAGGAGGAGGCCAATGGAGCGAGTTATGAAGGGAGAGAGAGTGAACTGGGAGGTTGAGAACAAACTCCTCTCATGTGGTTGTGAGCTGCTTATTATGCCAGATGTCAGACACCTAGATAGTGTAGACACACGCGCACACACTTGTCACACACATACTGCCACTGCATTAGAGCCGCCACACACACACATACACACACAACCGTCAAACTTTCACTCACTCACAAAACCCCCATTACAGCCCCACCTCAGACTACCTACACTAGATTACCAATAATCCCCTGAACGCTAATCACAGCCTCCAACACCTGCAGCCTGAAGCACACGACTCATTTAACGCAGGATGATTTGCATATTCATGATGGATTTGAGTATATGTATATATCAAGGATTTCCATTTTCAGTGACAGGAATGAAGATTATGTAATCTTTGTATTTCAGAAAGCTTCGTGTGCGGAAGTGTCTTTCTCTATAGCTTCTATCAAATGAAGACTGACGGATGAAGAAGCACAGATTGTTCTCTTTTTGATGCATTGAATTATGTTTGTCTTTATCTTGTCAGCATCTTATACTGCAGCTTCAGTAATTGTCTCACAGCGGTGGTAGATTTTCTCTGATGGCGAGCGTGTTTCTTTGTGTTGCTTGTTCTGAGCTTGTGGCCATTGTGACCCAAAAATGCCAGTGTGGAGCGTGCAGAACATCAATATCAGACTGTGCCGGCTCGTTAGGGCCACCGTGACATTCTGTCATTGTCACTGAGGGCTAATTATAAACAGCAGCTTCAGTGCTTTAGTCTGCAGCTCCTGACCCACTCGCATCTAAAAACACTTCCCTGTTCCTCCTCTCCTCTACCTTTTCATTTTCCTTATCCCTTTAATTTCTGTTCCTTAGCCTTTCCTCTTTTGTTTTTTCTCTCTCTCTTCCTTTTCTTCCATTCTATCCTTTTTCATTTTCCTTTCATTTCATTTCATTTTTCTTTATCATTAAATTTTTCTTTATCCTTTTCCCTTCATTTATTTAGAATTTTCTCTTTTGTTTTCCTTTTCTTTTCTTTCCGCATTTCCTTTTCTCTTTCCTTCCCTTTTTCTTATCATATCCTATCATATTTCTTTTTACTTTCATTTCCTTCTTTCTTTGCCCTTTTCCTGTATTTTCTGCATCCTGCTTGTATTCCTGTATTTTCTGCATCCTGCTTGTATTCCTGTATTTTCTGCATCCTGCTTGTATTCCTGTATTTTCTGCATCCTGCTTGTATTCCTGTATTTTCTGCATCCTGCTTGTATTCCTGTATTTTCTGCATCCTGCTTGTATTCCTGTATTTTCTGCATCCTGCTTGTATTCCTGTATTTTCTGCATCCTGCTTGTATTCCTGTATTTTCTGCATCCTGCTTGTATTCCTGTATTTTCTGCATCCTGCTTGTATTCCTGTATTTTCTGCATCCTGCTTGTATTCCTGTATTTTCTGCATCCTGCTTGTATTCCTGCGCTCCAGGGTCACATTTAAATTGTGCATAAGTCAGTTTTTATATTAACTTTTTTAATTATTATATAATTGTTTCTCCTCCAGTATGTTGTTGAAATATAAACCTTTAAACGGTGGCTGTAAAAACTTGTTTCAAACACATTAAATAATGATAACAGGTTGAGTAAAAATATTTTGAACATGTAATATAGTGCATATATTTAGCAAAAATCTGCTCTCTAGAGTTTTTTTTTTTTACTAATGAGTGATGGACATTGAGTGGCTTTCACTAATTAAGAATATCTTCAATTGACTTTCAAAGATAAAAAAAAAAAAGTCTTATGGGTTTGGAACAACATGAGGGGGAGTAAATGATGACTATTTTCATTTTTGGGTGAATTAATTTTAAGAGAAGTCGGAATATCTGTCGATGGTCATTTTCTGTTTTAAGGTCTTTTATTAGTGAACTTTGAGGAAGCATTTGTGTTAAATAGCTGCTCACTGGCATTCAGGATTAACACTTCTGAGCACAGCGTTCATTCTTGGTAATTCCCAGAAAGGAGATCTCCATCCCGTTTGAATTTGCAGGTCCTCTGCAAACACCTCAGAAAATACTAAATCAAAACACTCTCAAGGTTGGCTTTCTTCATTCATCATAGCAACTAGATCATTTGAATCAACCTTCTGGATAAAGATTTCCATGTAGGCATTTGAGCTGTAGGTGTCTTCTCACCACACGAGAAGTGTGTCTGAATCACACTCCGTGATATTTTATTTGTACAGCTCTAGAAGTTTTGTCCATAAGGACTGTGAATGACAAGGAAATACATAGATCAGTAAAACGGTTCATTGAACACTGAAGCGTTTGCGCCAAACTGAGATCAGTAATGGATTCTCCATTTCTCACGGTTGATTCCTGATGAAAGCTGTTGTTAATAACTCAAGTTCATAGTTCAGCAGATGGCGCAGAGACGTTCTGCTGTGTTTTCTTTGATTCAAAGCGTTACAGAGAAATTGATGCTGGTGTGTGAGTGTGTTCCCTGTAATGAAGCTCTAGTTCTGTGTGTGCCAAGGGCTGCGTTTCTGCCTCATAGAGGATGCTGTGTCATTCTATATATATATGTGTGTGCGTGTGTGTGTGTGTGTGTGTGTGTGTGTTTAGGTTTTGTAGCAGACTCAAGCTGGGCTGGCATCTGTCATAACCCCCAATAGTTGAACCATCAGCAGGCAAAGCACTACACGTGTGTACACACACACACACAGACACACACAGACACACATACACATATATATATATACACACACACACACACAAAGTATCATACTAAGGAGAATCGGCCTTCCCTTCCCCTGCACACACACCTGCTGTGACATAAATCAGAGAGGAGGAGGAGGCCAATGGAGCGAGTTATGAAGGGAGAGAGAGTGAACTGGGAGGTTGAGAACAAACTCCTCTCATGTGGTTGTGAGCTGCTTATTATGCCAGATGTCAGACACCTAGATAGTGCTGCTTGTATTCCTGTGTTTTCCTCTCTCGTTTCTCTGGTTCCTTTCCTTCTTATTTCATATTCTCTTTTCTTTTTCTTTCTCCCGTCCTTTAATTTCCTCCTTTCTTTGCCCTTTTCCTGTATTTTCTGCATCCTGCTTGTATTCCTGTATTTTCTACATCCTGCTTGTATTCCTGTGTTTTCCTCTCTCGTTTCTCTGGTTCCTTTCCTTCTCATTTCCTATTCTCTTTTCTTTTTCTTTCTCCCGTCCTTTAATTTTCTCCTTTCTCATTTTCCTTTCCTTTTTGTTTCCCTTTTCATGCCATTCTCTCATTTCCTTTCCTTTGTCATCCTTATTTCTGTCTTTTTCTTTTCCTCTTTTGTTTTCTGTTGCCTTTTATTTTCTCTCTTCCTTTTGCCTTTTTTCTAATCTTACCATTTTCCTTTGTCCTTAAATTGTGTCCTTTAATTTTCCTTAACCCTTCCTCATTTTATTTCTTTTTCCTAATTTCCTTTTCCCTCTATCTTTCATTCTCTCGTTTAATTTTGCTTTCCCTTTTCCTTTTCCTCTTCTCTCATTCTTTCCTCCTCTTTCTCTGTTGCAGGGATCAGATGGGAAAAGAGGAAGTTCTCCTGCGTATTCAGTAAGTCTCTCTGTCCCAGTCATGTGAGAATTTAAGAGACACAAATGATGCTTTTGGAGGCTCTTGGTTCAATCACATCGACACTCCTCTCTTTGGAGAGACGTGACGCAGTTTCCAGAAACGCACTGGCCTTGCCCACACAAGAGTTCATCATGTTTTACGATCACCTCAAATTAAACTCAGATTATGAGAAATTAATATGAAGGAGCCATGTATAATATGCAGGGTGGAGTTTAACCACATCTATTTTGGAAACACTCTCTTTCGGTTTCACAACTATAAAGAGATTATAGCATTTCTTTTTTTAGATTAACCGTGTGTGTAGGACTCAGTTTATCTCTTAATAGCGTTGGTGTGTGCGCTGGAGTTTGGTGGCAGCCGTGGAGGTTTCAGCCCAACCAGTGAACGAGAACTCCTCTCTGATCAGAATGCAAAGATGCCCTTGGCAGCACACCCCTCTTTGTCTGTGCTGAAAAGATCAGGATATTTCGGCATCCTTTCCCCAGCGAGAGAGAAAATAGACTGTGATCATTGGTCCAGGCCCCGGATTGTGCACTCTCACATTAGGGATATTCTTAGAGTCATTTAGACTCAAGAGTCATTAAATACTGTTTGAAGACACAATATGTCTCGTTATACTCTCGGCTGATGTTCAGAGATTGTACGGTTTGCTCTCAGGAGACTATGAATTTAAATGTGGTGCTCAGTGCTTGCTGAGGCCAGTGTTATTGTGCATCGGGTGCAAAATAAGACCTGAATAAATTCATAACAAATGGTGTCTGAATGTAATCTCTCTCATTTATAGACTCCTGAAAAGAAGCACTCTGAATCATCACGGGGCAGGAAGAGGAAAGCTGACAACCAATCAGAGAGCAGTCAGGGTAAACGATTTACTGTTTTTTTTTTTTTTTTTTTTTCTTTCTTTCCTTCTCTCTCTCTCTCTCTTTTTCTTTCTC